TTCCCCCTACCCCCATAAATTTGGCACTAAAACTTATCTGGGAACAAATCCTGAAGTTCATGTAACTCACTTTAGATGACTAATCACTGCAGAAATGTGAAGGTGTTTTATGTGCTCTGAAACTCTCCTGGAAGTTACATAATACATAGTATGTGCACGTTGTCTTTCTGAAAAAAAAAATCTTGAATTTAGAAACATATCTACTCCCAAAGGTTTATATATAATATGTATAAAATATGTAATGAACAATCATACAGTTATCACCTAGATTTTATAATTGTCACATTTTGCCATGTTTGCTTCCCCACCTTTCTTTCTTTCTCTGCTGAAGTATTTTAATTAGAGGCATCATAACATACCACCCTTGAATACTTCAGTGCCTATCCCAAAAAATAAGAACATCTTCATATAAAAGTACAATATCATTATCATGCCCAAGAAAATTTAAAATATCAGAAAGAGATTGTTCAATGTGTGCCCTATTGTACGTTTTTTTAATCTGCAGCTTTATAATATGTTCAATATACAATAAAATTTAAAGTTAGAAGGAAACTGGATGTAACCTTTAAAACTTAAAATTGCCAGAAAGCTATAGGATCTGCTCAAGGTATTACTAAGGGATAGGAAAGAAGAATTCCTAAGAACCAGTTCAAAGTAGGGATAGGAGAAAATAAATCATTTCATTTTAATGCTCAACTAAGTTGGGGCTGGTCTAAGTAGGGCTTTCAACAATGCAGCACTGGCAGAGCATGGTAGGCATAGAAAGCCAATCAACATTTAAAAGAAGAATCTATTGCTTTGAAGAAAAGTTTTGTTCTCACTATCATGGAAAGAGGAAAGAGTCAAATGTAATTAATTTGCCATCAAGTGGCTGAATGTTCCTACTGTGATATTACACCATATCTAGAGATTAGGTACGGCTGCAGTTCTTGGATCTTGCAGATCCTCAACAGTGGTCTTGGCTAGGTGGTCTTTACAAAGGAAAACATTAAAAAAAAATTTTTTTTGAGCCTTCATCCTGGCAGCCATGATCATTGTGTTCAACAGTTCCTTGAACAAATGCTGAGAAAACAGGGTGGGGGGGGGGAGAAAGGGGAAGAGTTGCTGACGTCTATAGAGGAAATCTTACACAAAGAGTTAGTGAAAATATTTGCACACTTGGGACCCAGTATAAGAGATCTATTCCCTTGCAGCTTCTTCCCTCAATATCGTTATCCCCGATCTCCCAAATCTTTTCTTTCTTGTTTTTGTCCTCTCCTCCTCCTCCTCCTC